CCCCCCCCCCCCCCCGCGCTTTTAATCGCGCAAGTCGGAGCGTCGCGAAACTTTCGACGCATCGCCGTGGTGCTTTCGCCGGGTCTTAATTGGAGATTAACAAATGAAGACGGAGAACGAGACACGTGCGTGATACCGTTCGAAATTCGCGTGCGCACACGTTCGCCCGATTGTTTAGAATTCTGGAAGATACGCGCTTGAAACTTGCCCCGTTCTCAGTTTCTCTCTCTCTCTCTCTCTCTCTTCCAGGACTTATTCAAATGCGAGAACTAGAGAAACGCGGTCAAACAACTGTTAGCATACGAGTCAGGAGGGAGGGGAAGGCGAGTGTTCCCTGTCAGAAACAGTTAAGGACGCATTTAAGGAAGTTAAATCGGAGTGCTTGTTCCCCAGCATCCGGTGGTTCTTGTAAATTCGCAACATTAGCCCAAGTTTCGGGAAGCAATATAAGAACGTGCGCATGCACAATGCAATGAATGCGAGAAGTGTTCTCGGGCGGAATCGCTGTTAATTCTAATTTACCGGGTTCGCTAAATCGCTCGTCAATTCGTCAAGTTTGCCCGGAAAGGCGAGAACGCGTATTCGCCCGGTTTGTTTAAAATAAATCGGACGTAATCCGGGACGTTCGGTCGTCCGTTCGCACCGTGCGGGGGCAAGTTTCTGATATTGCCGACTTACCGGGGGTGAACTCGCTGTATGCGAAAGAGCGGGCTGGCGAGATTAAAAAGCATTCGGGTGATTTTCGAGGAGGATGCGAGAGGGACGCGGAAGAACGATGACACGGACGTTTGCCGTTGGGCGAACTACTCGCGTAAATAACGAGATAATTTACGATCGTTACACAATGATCGTCATAAATCGCATTTCTGTTGGTCGACAAAACGTGCCGTTATGCGAGGAACTCCGGTCCCGCCGCCGCCGTCGGCCCCTCAACCCCTTCCCGCGCTGTCGATATTTTACCGCGAGAACGCGGATACACGGCCGGCATAATTTATCTGTTTTCAAATATGCCCGCGCGCGCCGATAAATTTACATATTTTAATATAAATTCCTAAATGCCGGCCGGCGTCCGTACAAACGGCCCTACGAAGCTCCGAGTACGTCTTTATCGATCATTACCCCGCCATCCGCCCTTCCACCGCTTTACGTCTTGATTCTTACCCCTCTCCTCTCGCCTACTTCCCCCTCGTCCTTCCTTAATGTAACAGCTAAGAGCGCCCAAGAATATGACGGATTCTTTGCGTGGCTTCGCATTATTCGCAGCGAGTAAAGCAAAAGCGCACCGCTCGAAACTTAAACGTTCTGCAACTCATTTTCCGACGCGAGCTTAAGAACCGTACAATCAATTAATGAACGGCCTTCGGTAAAAATAACAACCCTCGGTCTAATTTTATCCGATAAAACATTAAAATATATCCAGCGCGTAAAAGCACGACAGTGCATGGAAAATTATGAAAAATTAAAATCTCGGAATTCTCTCCGCGAGAAACATATCCCCTCCGTCTCCGAGGGAATTTTCAAAGAGTATCTTGCCGCTTTCTTCGTACGTAATAAAGCCGATATTTGCGATGCGATACTCAGCGCACTCGGCGAGAACCGAACGAATTTTGTGCAATCTTCGATGCATGGTGAAACCGAACGCACTGTATCATCGCACTCGAAGCGAGATCTAATCACAGAAACGGGGAATTTGAAGCGTGTACTTAGATTTTGACAGGGACACCCGACGCACGCCGGGAAAATCGATTTTCCTCGCGCGCGACTGATAACGCGACGCGCTTCCCTCGAACTGCTCGAAGCACGACGGAACTTGTTTGACACCTTAACTATCGCGCTCTCTCGAGCGCCACCCCGCACTCTCCGTCCCCAGCCTCGGGTTGACAGTCGAGCTTCGTATAATACGAGCCCGCTATCGTCGACGGAAGTTCGTGTTTAGGAGCACACGCACGCACGCACGCACGTGTGTGACGCGCTGCGACAATAATGTAGGAAATACGCGCGCGCTTCGAACGTTCTCCCGCGTAAATGCCAAATGACATCAAGGGGTATTTGTCATGGCGCCGAACAGGATGTAACCAGCCGTGTGTAGCAACCACTTCGTCGAAATTTGAATAGAGCGATTACACGATATTGCCGATAACGTAGCGCGCGCCGCGATAAGCGGAATTTGTCACGCGATGAATTTCGGCTGCTATCTTTTTCAAGCGATACGCGGCGAGCAAGAGTATCGCGCGTCGCGCGAGATAAACACGGCGATATTCCGCCGGCGAGACATTTGTCTTCCGACAACAACATATTGGCCATAAATCCAACGTATACCACGCTCTTACGGCGTACGAAAAGTGTCTTCGCTATGGTGTCTTGTGTATTTTTATACGGGGGGAGGGGGGATAAAAGTGAGCGTGCAAATTTTTATCTCTCGTATTTTTAACGCTCGTCTTTATTATTGCAAACTGTTCAACCGTGGCGTGAAATGCGTATACTTAAATACATATTAGAAGAAACTAGGAAGGCATCCCCGTGCGCTGGATGGTGAGCTCCGTAATCTGAAATCAAGCAACGCGTAAAGTGATTTTCCCGTGCTTATCCGAAGGATGGAGAAAGCGCGTTAACGATAATTTGAACCTGAACTTCCGGTCGCGTTGAGAGAGCATAAATAAGCGCGTCCGCTATGTCATCCGGTGCAAGGGATGGTATTTTATTGAAAAATTCTTGCTTCTCCGCGGTGTGCTTAGCTATCTCCGTTTTTACGAGACCAGGACTGATACTCTGCGGAAAGAGCAGACGGATTAAGAATCTGTCGACAATTATCTTACGGCACATCGGTAGATAGGGGATGATATTTTACGCTAAATTAACGCCGTCGCGAACGTTCGTGCGCGATGCGACGCGTGTGGATTTAACTGCTTACATCGGCGAAGTAACCACCATGCGTGTCTGTTGTCTACGGACAACAGGCACAGTTTACCTTCGACACGTCTACAGGCATCGACAACTGTTTACCTCTGATTCCTCCTAGTGTTGTACCGTCGTGAAATATTTATGATTCGACTAACGAGTTTAGGAAAGCCTATAAGAGCAAGCTCTGGTTATAAGCGCGTAAAATTAATAAACAACCGTGCGATTAAAAGAAACGTATTAAATAAACGGTTTCGGTTTACTGTAATAACGACATATTTTATAATGCGAGCAAAATTTACTTCTCCATTAATGTCTCGATATTGCATGCCACGAACGTGCTCTCTTTTTTAGAAATTATAGGGGAAAATTTCATTATTTCATTAAATGAGACGATATTTACATAACGAGGATAATAAGAGAGGAATAGGAATTAAAGGCATGATACAATCGTTCGCAACTTACCGTGACTCGAATAGGGGATTTAATCGCCGCTAATTCTTTCCGTACAGTGTCAGTCAGAGCGACAGTTGCGTGTTTGCTTGCGGGATACAAGTTCCAGCCGTTACAATCAATGGAATCTGAGTTAAATGGCGGTGGGATCTCGTGGCCAAAAATACTACACATCAAAGTTGTATATATTAACAAATCATACAATGAACAAAAGTCGCTGTATATATTTTTGCACAATGCGTCCCCCGACACACCGCTTTTACTGCGATTTTCAATTCATACCGAGTATAGCAAGAACAGTACACGTTGCGGAATTTGATAAATGTGTAATAATTATTTAGTTTATGGTTTTACCGTGAATTGGAAAATTATAAATTATAAATTCCATTATAAAAGTCGATATTCAAGGTATAAAGTGTACTATAATAAAACTAACTAAATAAATAAGTTTATTTCAAAACTAAAAAAATTGAAGAATATCAAACAGGATATAGAATAAAGCGGAACACATCAATGAATCTTGGTGCCGGTTCGTTTTGCAATCGATCATGAACTCAACTACGCTGTGCGAGCTGAAATCGATCTATAAACTTTCAAACAAATAAATATTGCAAACATGATAACAAAGATTACGAAAGAGTGATATGATAAATTATTTTACTACTTTATCTCTCAGTGACAAAAAATATCAGTTGGCGTGGAGATAGAATTCAGCGTGCAGCGGAAATGATACACGTGAAGAACGGAACGTGTCGAGAGAATCTTCCGCGTCTCCGTATCTTTTCTTCTTGCCTCCCGTCTTATCACGCGACAAGCGCGGCGAGCGCGAAGAACGCTTGCTTCGAAAATACCTAATTTATTCTAAAAGTTTACGGGACTGACTGTTGCCAGACATCGCAGTTAACGAACGAATCATAAGTAACAATACCTGTTGACATTGAAAACATGCCCTTCGACGTTTCGGTCGCGCATAGAGCGCACCGCCTTGTTGACGCACGTAGCGACTGCGAGGACATTAATATTTAACAGCCTTTCAAATGTCTTCCTGTCGCTCTCTGCAAGTGTAATTTATGGAATTTTTTAAAATGCGCCAAACGACGAGGGAGACCGAAGCCTTCCACTGTAATACTGTCAGTGAAAGCCCACTCCTCCCCCTCCCGGCCCGTCATCGCGAGTCGTACGCGGCATATAAAAGTAAGAACCTTCCCATTTTTCCAGTGTTAACATCCTCGACGAGTAAGAGGCCGCTGCGTTTTTGAGCGGCCTTAATAGCACTCCACGATCGAAACTAGATTTCGAAATAAGATCTCCCAATCGAACTCCTCAAAGTTTCGAATTTCGACACGTATGCCGCGCACTGTATCTTCGCATAAACGAATTACAAGATAAAAGCTCCCGTTAAGCTATGTTCCGCTAGAGCAACAATGGCAGCAAACGAGAAACTTTCTGTTGTCGTTTGCTGTCGCTGAATGTTTCCGAATGATCCAACGTATGTCAACTTGTAGAAGCATCTCGTCTACGTTGAAGCGACATGATCACAGAAACATTTGGTTTCTCTTCCAACCTCCTTATTTGTTTCCAGCAACTAACTTCACGCTCGCTGGGTTACTGACAACTGAATGTCCATTCTGACGGAGCTTCTTTGTTGAAAATTTCCAGGGTGGATTCCCACGGAAATCCGACGGAACTCATGTGAATCCATATTGGATATTAAAAATCTACAGGAATCCACGTAGTTTGTGAAAATTCAACAGCAACTTTTGTCGCTGTCGCAACAGAAACATCAAAGAAGCGTCAAAACAAGTTTCGACAACAACCGGCAACTTTTTCAAGAAACACGAAACATGAACGAAAAGGTTCTCGTTGTTGCTCCAGTAGGGGCATAGCTTTAGGAATACCTCGTACAAGTACAAACATACCGATCACGCGGACGTAATTAGTGATACCAGCGTTGTTGACCATAATGTCCACACCGCCGTGTGCCGTCTCGATATGCGTAAATATTCTGTTAATATCCTCCTCATTGCTTACATCGCCATACATGATATGCAGACTGCCCGGCTGATTCTGATTCGAAACGTCAGCAAGCAGTGTCGTCAGTCTTTCCTTCTGGATGTCCACAGCAGCTACGTTTACTCCGTTTCGCAGAAGAGCACGTGTAATTGCTTCGCCGATGCCGTTTGCAGCGCCGGTAACGAGTGCGGTTTTACCAAGCCAACGATCCATAATTGCCTGTCTGCAAGTACGACGTAGCTCACATGGTTGACATGCCACTAATAACTAGCGAGCCGAAAATAATTTCGAGCACGTAAAAAGTGTAATCATGAGCGTCTACAACATCGCGTTGAACGTTAAATTCCCCCTTGAAATTTGTGGAAATGGCATTTCGATTAACAGCATCAGCGCGAAAGCGAACGGTACTTACTTGCGTGTCTCGTCGTAGTATTTCGTCGTCGTCAGAAATAATCACGAGCAGCCTCAGCTGCTTTCGGTGATATCGCGAAACGTCGATACGCACAGTGCGATATGCGCACAGCTGGATCACACTGTCGATACAGCGCGATATAAACTGTACTTAACAGAAGCATCGCTCGGTGTCACTCGGTATCAGTCGACCCACTCCTTCTTTACGCCGGAGTGGGGCTGGAGGACTCGCAGGCCGCACATAATTACGCACATGTACGTAGACTCACACTGATGACATTGCGGATGAATATCATAACAAGCCGAGTACGAGAGCAAAACACATCGCACCAAAATAGATACGAAATGTGATCGGGCATACGCCGAGGTTTCAAAATATGGAAAAAATTTGAGAGATGCGCGATGCGTGCAAATGCGTGCGCGCGCTTACACGTTTTGCAACATCGTTTTGTAATTATCTCGAGGAAATTATCGTTGTATGCGCGTATGCGCACATGTATCATTCTCCTCGGACACTCGGATGTTATCGTCATCGTCAGATGAAACGTGCTCCGTGTATACATTATGCACCATGTATATTCGTGCTGTTGGCCACGAAATAAAGGGGAGTGCGTGTTAGGGCGGGTAACGGGGACGCGCGAACGGTCCATTAATTTTCTTACGATCCGCGACGGACGAAGAGCTATATTAGAACTTCTCGTACTCGCGTCGTAACTCTATTTCGGTGCAATACGGCGACCATTTTTCGTCTCAGGCGTGTCCGGAGCGTCGGGCACGTATAGGCCAGACGCATCATGGACGAGGACAGAGATCCTTCGGCTTAGGTTTATCCGTTTACCCGCCGGTCTCGTCCGTCCGATTTCGCCCCGGTCTTTACTTGTTTTAAGTGAAGCGCGACGTGACCTACCGCAATCCCCTCCGTATCCGCGTACAATCACATCGGCTTCTGCGTACCGTCTCTGCGAACCAATCTCTTTTGCGGAGACATCGAACGGAATATCAGGATATTTCGAAATCCCGGAGATTCCAGCGGACGATTTTCAGAGACCTATCCTGTATCGCGCGCAAGAGGAAGGAATCTCGCTGTCAAAAAATATAACACGGCTATCTCTTTACCTGCGACCACTCCGGAAGTTCGTATTTCGAAACGACGGCGAAGACCACATGTTCAATGTGGAGGCGGTAATGTCTTAAGGGACACCTAGACAACGAGAAGGAAAGGACGAACGAAGGATTTTGCGATCGTCACTGATACCAATCCGACCGATCAATCGGTAATCAGTCTACGAGATATTTCGACGGTTAGCTACGTTGAATATATCACGCATGCGGTCTTCGTCGTCTCGTCGGGCGAGAAGCCCTTGAACGAAAGATTGGCGAACGCGAAACGATCGGCCATTGAATTTCGTCGTACCGCGCCGGGATGGATTTATCTTTTCCACGGACAACGTCGCTATCTCGATTACGTTACGGTAATCTCGAATTTCGAGATTCGAAATGGGAACTGCTCCTCTTCTATCCACCACCCCCTCATCTTCGCGGGATAAACGATATCCGCTACCGGACGCAATAACAACGGCGCGTATCGATCTTCGTGAGCCGGCATCTGGCACTGGGTCCGGTTGTGTGCCGGGCCGGGAGCATTATTCTTGTTCACGCGGGACGACGAGGAAATCAACAAGAAAACCGGAGGAAGCTTCTCCCGGGCCGGTCCGCCAGATGCTGCTACCGCCGCTCGACCATTTCTCAACGTAGCCGTGATTACGCGCATCGTTCCGCACTTACTACCGACGGACTCATGTTTTTTCCATAGGCGGCAAATTACATAACGAGGTGCAGACACGTGATCCCGAACCGCGCGTGAAATGACGAGAGGTACAACGAGGAAAATCGATTCCCGTCGAATGAACAAACTGTCGCGTTGTATTCGTGTACGTACACGTGTACGTGTCAGAGGTTTTCAACGAACGAGTTGTTTTCCTTCTCCTCTATTAAAAATTGGAGAGTTGGCTATTTACAGAATAAATTTAATTTTGTTTCGACTGATGCATTTGACAAAGTTAGATATTTTCAGTCAATATCGAGTAACGAGTAGGCTTTTAAAATATTTCACTTACTCCGCGCTACATTTTAAAATTGAAGTAAGGGCGGACATATTTTTCATGATATCAGAAACGTTCCAGCACGATTTAAGAAGTAACGACCTCCGAACCAAAAATATTATTATACTCCACGCCAGCTGACGAGAAAATCAAAAAGAAAGACGGAGGAAAGCAGTGTTCTTCGGTTCGCAGCACCATATGCTTCCGCCGCTCGGCTATTTTTCAACGGATCGTGATTACGTATACCAATCTGTATTGCTATAAACCTTTCCTTGCAATGTACGTTACGGCACCATGAATTGTACGTATTAAACATGGAAGAAAATATATTTCGTTAAATTGAAATATGGAAGAGTTTCGTAACAAGATTTCGTCGTGAAAATTCGTCAAGAAAATAGAATTTTTTAATCGAGTTCACGTGTGAGTGACATCCATAAGTGATTTGTTAAAAATTGTTTACCTACACAGAGAAAAAGATTCCTTTGGGTTTCTTTCTTTAATATTTTTCTAACATAGTGTTACTTCTTGCAAATAATTTATTGCTCGTAACAACCATTGTAATGTTTGGATCAAAATACGAGAGAAATATGTTATTTCACGTAAAAATATTTATTGTTTGAGAAATCAAACAATCCTGTTTGTTGAATCGAACAGCAGTTTATTTGTTCCATTCCAAAAGACAAATTAGTTTCAATTAAATCTAGAGAAATTTTTTTCTCTGGGTTTGAAATAAGTCAAATTTTTATCAAACAATTTAAGAATTCGAGACAGAGAAAGAGAGAGAGAGAGAGAGAGAAAGAGAGAGAGAATTTTTTAATATATATACATATGTAATACATTATACGTATATCCTGTCGCCGATTCCATTAGCTTCTGTGAAAACATATAACAGTTCGACTTCTGCCCGTAATCTTCGATTCTACAAAAGTTGGCTTTACACGTCGTTTCCGCCGGCCAGATGTGGAGGAACGACCATTGGGCACCCATAATTTTCGAGTTATCGAAAAAACTTCGGAGGATCTGGAACGAAGCGGGCGCCCGCTGAGAATTTCCGAAACTTTCTTCTTTGCCAGGTGCAAACGAGATGCAAACAACCCGCTGGAAGATCATTTTGAAAATTCCGCACAGGTCATCCGAGTAGCTCCGCGTGCGAAAAATGCGAAATCAGCCGCCCGTGGGTCCGCACCGTGCCGATAACTCGAAAACTATGACAGCGCGATCGAGGGCTCTTAAAATCTCCCAATGACAAATACGGTTGAGGAGGCGTGACGAAAAATTTCAAAAATCCCGACTCGTTGACTCACTTCATCTCGGAGTTAAAGCAGTCGCTGTCGGCGCGATAAGGCGCAAACGAAGTGCACCGCGACTTCGGCTGCCGGCAAAAACTCAAGAACTTAAGAGCGAGTCCAACGCGAAGTTCTCCATTACCCGCTGTTGCTCGGAAAACTGTTTATATAACATGTAGGTCGCAAATCCGAGCAAGTAGCTGCGGACTCGCCTCGCGCGTGAGATTCGTTTCCTTTCGTTCATTCGTTTAATTATTCCTATTTCTATTTCACTTACTGAGCGCGAAAATAAACTCAAAAATCGTCGACGACGCCCGCGGAAAGAAAACACTAACTGGAAAGCGCATCGTCCCAGACAGGGATGAGAAAAATGGGAAAAGATTTGCTCGTTTTCCGCTTCAAAGCGCCAGACGTTCCCGCCACTCGGCCATTTCTCAACGACACCGTGATTACATACATCACTTTGTATTACCGCAACATCACATGTCTCGTTTTCCTGTTCGTCCGCGAAATGCGCGCGGCGTAAACGAACGAGTAAACATTTCAAATTTTTGTATTCTTTAATTATACTAATTTTTGTATTCGTTAATTATACTAACATTTTTGTGCATAATATTTCGTAAGTGTAATCATTGCAGCTATACAACTTAGACATTTAACGATACGTTATTTCGAAGACGGCGCACTCGCGCTTTAGGTTGAGGATTGAGGCGATGATCGAGGAGCAGAGCGACTATATCGAGCGGTAGAGCTCAGGGAGGATCTTTTAAGTGAAATATTAAAGCGTTTCCTTGCACCTTTAATATTGGTTCTGATAAACGGCTTTTCTAATAAAACGTTTTCACATTTGGTGCGACCGTTTTGACGCGATGAAGATGAGATTTATTCGTATAACTAAAACCGAAAAATAATTCAACGCGAGCTTTACAAACGGCGATGACGCACGTTATATTTCACAGAAATGTCGGAAAATGTACAGTAGGTCAAGACGCACGGATCATACGGAAAAGACGCCCGCAATGATGATCGATTTTAGATTTCCAAGAGTATCCCTGATTCCACTTGACGAGGGCGGAGGTTCCTGTGACAGCTACACAAAGAGTTCATCTTTATTGGAGTTCGTCTGAGGGAAGTTATTTGGAAGCTTATTCGGAAGTTTAAAGGAACTATCGAAGAATAGCTGAGAACACAGAACGAGAGGCGGCATTCAACTTCGTTTCCGAAGCAATAAACGATAACGGACGGTATCGACGTTCTTTCCCCCAGACTGCCGAACTAATGTATAAACGCGGAGTAGCTGGATCGACGTTCTTATGACGTCAATTCCACATTTTCGCTCATCAATCTCGTTTATATATCTAAATGGATAGACAGATAAAATACTTGCGAAATGCGATAGTGAACATATATTACTAATAACATTAGGCAGCTTTACAACGTTATGATTTTTGCTGTGTCAATATTAAGAAGAAATCTTTGTCTGAATCATACTAACAGAAATAAGTCGCGATATAAAAATAATTTAAATCTACCTCATATTGAGATCAATATATTTTTTAAATTCAAGATATATTTATAAATCTAATTGGAGAACTGAACCTATTGCTACAATTTAACAGTCCGCGATGAAGAAATCTTACAGTGATCGCAGCTGCAAGTTATCGTTTGTAGTATTTAGTGCGGTTAAATATTAAGTAAATACTTATGAAAACTATCTCTCTTTTATATTGCGACAATTCCATTTAAATGAGAGAAGTAACGACTAAAA